ACACTTTTTCCAATCTCAGTTAACAACTCCATTTTCAGTGAGGCCTTCTCTGGCTAAGCCATTTAACAACTGCAGTCCCCCTCCAAGAGGCCTCAATCACACTTTCCATCTCTTCTTTGCTTATCTTATTATCTAACTACAATGTGTATTACTTCTGTTTACTGTGTAACTCCTCCATTAGAATATAAATTTTTAAAAAAAGAATATAAATTCTGTTACAGCGGAATTTGATGTGTGTGTTTAAAATGCTATTTGCAAAAATAAAATAAAATAAAATGCTATGTGCCCATAACAATGCAACAATTTAGGTAACGCCTGTAGTGGGTAGTCAATGAATCTTTGTTTTCTATTTTTACTGTAGACTATAATGCTAGTTATTTTTGATTGTTGTAAGAAATACGTTCCTTTCCCAAGTTCATAAATACATTCTGTATTTCCTTCTAAAACTTGTTTTTCCTTTTTTAGTCAGACTATTAGATCAAGAATTGATTTTTCTGTATGATGTGAGGTAGGTTCAAAAAAATATTTTTTAAACCTCTTCTGGATAGCCAGGTGCTGAGCAGGCTGTATTTTTACTACAAAATGGTTTTGGTTTATCTCTCTACTTTCTGAAGTCCCTTGCCGCTCAGTATTAAGATTCTGTAATAACCAAGCAAAACAAAGTATCAACCCCACAGTTTTATTTGTAAAGAACAAAGCATGAAAAGTCATATTTAAATGTACTCCAAAACCTGAAAAACCCACGTCAGTTTCTCTTATATGTACGTTAAAGTGCTTGATATCACAATACTCTTTAAATTTTATATTATGTTCAGATGAGGGGAAAAAAAAATCCAGTTCTGATGCATTGTCAACAATATAAAGAAACACAATATAATTTAAATGCAGAAATGTTCATTGTTTAAAAAGATACACTGGGTACATTTATACAGGTTCAAGGTTCAAGTGTAACACGGAAGATTTTGTCTATGTTTAACACCTTCATTTGATTGACAACAGGAACTCCTCTCTACTGTCAACAAGATCTGGTTTGGAATAGACCCGGAGTTACACACAAATCCATTCAGGAAACCGGATGAAGTGTGATTCTCTCCTACATAACCCAAGGATGCCCTGGGTTCCTTCAAATGAAGAGAAGCTTTTCAATATGTATTTTTTTTTTTTCACTCTGCTGTCAACTGCTCAATGTGATACATTTCTGGAGCTAATCTTGTTTCTGTCCTTGAGAGGATGATCATCTCAGGGAAGATCTGGGAGGATGAGTTTCTTGCATTCCTCTGATCACATCATCAGCACTCTTCAAAAAAGCTTGGAAATTCAACAGATTTATAAATGTATTTAAATAGAAATAAGGGACCTAGAAGTTTATTATTCATTTCCGTCTCCTTTTAAGCTAAATAAGTAACAAATACTTATGTAAGGAACAGGGGCTTCAAAAGAAACTGATGACTCAGAAACAGGATTCACTAAAGTAGAGAGGAGCTCGAGACTCCATTCCCAATCAACGAAGGTGTGTTAATACTGAAATATAAATAGCAAAGGTTCAGATTGTTTACAGTTTCTGTAAACCTCACAGAGAAAAATAAAATTCTCAAAAATGAAAACCCACTGAAAAATCTTAATTCTTAGCAGAAAGAAGGTATTTCAATTAAGAGCTATATTCTCAATGATGTCAAATAAATATTTCCCTGGGGATCTGAGATCCTTATCTGTTGCTTCATGTTTCAAAATATCTTAGAGGTGTCAACATATACTACACACAAACCGTTAAGTATTGTCTCTACCTCTCGTTCATTACATTTACATACAACAGTGCTTTATTCCAAAAAAAGGAAATACAAGCAATTCAGTTATTTCCCCTGTATCATTCATGTAGTGTGACAGAAATTAATGAAAACGACTTTTTAAAAAAGGCATGTTAAAGTAAATACCACAGGGTTACAAAGGTTCAAAAATGTGTGAAACACTGAAAATACATTTTAGAGGGAAACTGCAAACTTTTGCATGTTTCAGATTTCTTAAACCAAACTCTTGCTCCCAGTGGGATAGGGGAAGAGGAGGAACTTTTGTTCTCCATAGCCCTATTTCACACCAACTAGAATCTCACTTTAAGCTATGCCACACCCTACCCGCCCCCACTGTAAGCTACTCCACACCCCACACCAAGCCTCAGGCAGTTTTAAGGAGCTAATGAGCCCGACCCAGGGCACTCCTAACTGGGTTCACACACAGTACCAACAACAGCGTGCTGCCACTGTGTCAGAAAGGCTGAGATTCGGAGTTTCCAGACATTTGAAAAACACTTGGAAATTAAATGTTTCAAGAGGTAATATTTTTGGCAATTTCATTTTAAAACAATTTCTTCTCAAGCTATTGTTATTTGAAAATACTAATTGTAATTCCAGGCATTATTTTTAGTTTATTTTGAAGAAAAAAAGTCAATTACAAAATTGGTTTTAATTACTTTAACTCTAAGGTGTGATTATGAAGCAATATATTAATTAAAAAAATTAATACAGCAAAAAGAATATCTCTCACTGGGTATGGTCCTTCCAAAAGCCAGCTATGGACACTTATTCTAAGGGTTCTGCTACGGTCCTGCTCAAAATATTCTGGTATTGGCAGCTATAAGCCACGTAAGAACTTTAAGTCTTATTTCTTTAGAACTGTTTGTTTTGTGACCTCAAACTCTGCTTAAACATCATTTTTATTCATCAACTCGGATTCTAAGGACTTTTTGTTTGCAGATACTAAATTTCTTTTAAAATGCCAAGATTGAAAAAAAAAATAACAAAATGTCAAGATTTACCATAACTGGCAATAGTCAGAAGAATGGGCTGTAGGCCATTCAAGCAGCTTGCAAGGAGGTCCCATATGTATGGAGACATGGCTGTTGTCACTGGAATGACTATATGGACTCCCCAGGTGATCAATTTAAAGGCTCCAGCATTCTAGAGGAGGGTTCAGTTCTGGTGTGATTATCTCTTTTGAAATTGGTCACTTCCACTGTTGTGGTCATACTACACAAAGTGGGATAAGACTTTCGGTATAACTCTTTTGGGGGGTACTACTTTTTAAAGTAACAGCTTTATTCACAGGCCCCAAATCCAATTTTGCTCCCGGTTTTTGTAATGGATGTAACTCTCCACCACTTGAGAACCATTTGTTAAAATGAATGTTAAATTAATCCTTATAAATAATTATTATAAATGAATGTTAACAGTTATTTCCTACCTGTTTAGGTGGATGGATAAAGATCCAGGGGTAGAAAGACTATTAATATGAATGCCTCCTTGGCGCTCAGTCTCACGCAGCCTTGGTGTAATAAAAGACATGAGCTCTAGACTGTTTTGTCACTGACCAGCTGTGGGGTAAGTATTTAAACCCTCTGATCCTCAAGTGTTCCCATCTACAAAATGATGGCCCAATGCTAGCATGCTCACATGTCATCTCTCAGCTGCCCAGAGTGTGCCAGAATGATGGCCTTCTAAGAAAGGTACAAGAATAAAACCCTGCACTGATCATTCTGTGGTTTCTAATCACTGCAACACAAGAACCCCGTGTGAAGTAGGTTCTGGATACCTCCCATGAAAGACCTTCTAGGTCCTTGGAAGAGCTACACCAAGGCAGACAGCCCTTAGCCTCAGGCGAACACATCTCCTGTGTGCCCAGGTCACCCAGAATCATCTTTCTAAAGCCCTTCCCTGGGTTTCTAAATGCTGCCTTCAGCAACCCTAGTGCTCCTCAAGTACTAAGTCACAGATTAAAAGGGGATGTGCCTTAGTCACCCCAGCTGAAAACAGAATACAGTGTTTGATAAAGGGAGTGAAGCACTTGTTTGTTTAATTTCTTCCTCCAGGAAATAAGGGAAACAATACTGTTGGCTAAAGCCCAGGACCCTCAAGATTGTACAAGGGTCCTGAGAGGCCATGGTTTTGTTTCTCAGCCACAAGTGGGAATAAAACTCAGAGCTCTGTGAGGCAATTTCACCGATAACAGTGTGCAAATGCCTAATTAGTTACAGGACCTACCATAAGTGAAGACTCAAGGTAACTAGCTAACACCACATTTATTTAACTTCCTTATAAAATACCAAGTTGGAAAGCTACTCACAATGTTTGGTCTTTAAAAACTGTTGCCTCTCATTCTGCTTCCATTTTTGTCAGTCTGTGCGGCCCTGGCTTTTACCTTCTCCAGGCCAGTTGTTTTATATTATTACCCTTTCTTAAGAAAGGAACATAAAAACTTGCCCTGAAACACCCAGAAAGGTTTCATTCTTGCTCTTTCCCTCTGTTATTTGCATTATCTTGGTCAACAAATACTTTCACAAAAACATTCCAAGTTACACAGAGCCCTCCTCCTTCTTAGACATTCCTTCCATTTCCTGAGAGGGGGATGGGCACAGGAAGAGGGGAGGGGAGTGGGGACTGGAACCTAACAAAGAGAGGGTTTGAGATTGATTATCCTTGAGGTAAGGAACTGCTGCAGGGGTTAGATGGCCAAATTTTAAGTACAGAATCAAACTGCCGTTTGCAGTTCTTAGAACTTTGAGAACAACACTTTGAAATTCACATCTCTGCAAAGTACCTCACATAACAAGAATAAAAATGTGAAGAATGAAGTTAGTCTAGGCTAATCTTTCCAAAGTGTAAAGAAGTTATAATCCTACAATTTAACATATTTCTCAGCGCTTTGTGTGTTCTCTTTCCAGTTCAGCCAAGCTCCTGGGGTCCAGTATTTAAAATATTTGAATCATATCTTTAGCTTGTGCGGACGGAAAAATTTTTCCAAAAGACTGGAAAAGTGACTCAATTCAAATGTATGAAACCATTTGTAACTTAAAAAAAACATTTAAGTGTGGACTGTCACGTACAGTAGGTAAAGCTGTTCACTTTCACAATACAAAGACTCGGACACACCAGGACGGATGGCTACGACATAACAATGCATTCTGGGATCCTTTGTGATACCTGGAGGGAAAAAAAAGCCCGACTCGGTTGCACTGTAATTACATGTTTACTGGCTTCTTCCTGGCTAGCACCACTCTTCCCCTCCCCAACTCCCAATGCGGTTAAGCAACTTATTTTAAATCACAGGAATATTTAATCTAAGAAAAGTATCTTATTAGAGTAATATAATTTCTTAAAGAAGATAGCATATTTACACACATCTAACACATGAAAATACTCTATTTTATACTAAATTCCAGGTTCAAATGAACTACAATACAGCATTTTCCCTTGTCTGTAGTGTGAGGATTGTTCAAATTGGGGAATACAGTGTGTTGCCCCTGCAGTGACTCACTACCTTGTCAGACAAGTCCAAATCAGTCCCCATAGCTGGGGAAGGTTCGGGAACAAGGGGTCTGGACTGAGAGTTTCTAGTCACGTGGGTTACACATCCACTCCTTTGATGAGCGATCCTTCCAAGACTATGGTGAAGTCCTGAATGGTCTGCAGAATGCGGATGAGAGAGTTGACAGTCATGCGGTCGCGCAGGAGGGCGCTCTCCTCATACATTCGGGTAATAGCAGGACACTCAGCTAAGAGTGGGATCCACTGTGGGAGCAGGCGATCCCTACAGATTCAGAGAAAGAAGTCCTGAGCCCTGCTGACCTTGCTACAGAACAATACAAATGTTAGAGCTTTCAGCGGGAAGGTGTGGGGCTGGACAGAGTAAAACGAGCCATGTTCTGAGGTCAGCAGAGAGGAAACCAGACCTCAGAGAGGAAACCAAAGTCAGGAATTTGCTGGTTAAAAAGATACAGTAATGAGACAGTGTCAGCTAAAGGGAAAACGTAAGAGATTGTAAAAGTAAGTCTGGACAAATTGGCCTTAAGGACTTACCATATTAATGGGACTCTGTACTCGGGAATGAACACTTTTAAAAAGAGGCAGAATGTCATTTTGTATCTTTTTTTAATAGGGTTGTTACTCAGACATCTGTGGCAAGGCATGCCAAAGTATACTGACTCTTTGGGAACAAACACTACATTAAATAGGTGGGACTAACATTTAAAAAAAAAACTAACACAACATAACAAGGTAAGGAATGAAATCAAAGCAGAAAACCGTTAAGTAGATTTTATAAACCAAAAGCAGGGAGGCACTGGTCTAATTAATCAAAACAGTATATATATAAAAGAAGATAAGGATCATGCTCAAAAGGAATTTTAAAAGTATAGGTGAAACTGGCCCCTCTTATTAAGAATACTGAACTTAGTTCTGTGAACCAGTTGTTTCAGGAGGACATCTCAACCTTCAGGTGTTTTTTTTTTTTTCTTTGAGAGAGAGAGAATGAGAGAAAGCAGAAGAGAGGAGGGAGGGTCAGAGGGAGCAGCAGACTCCCCACTGAGCAGGGAGCCCGATGCAGGACTGGGACTCTGGGATCAACCTTCAGTGTGTACTGATTAAACTCAGACATTAGGTATCTGTCACTAAGTATCTAAGATGCTCTTACTAAGCATCTCAATATGCTTTTCTTTCCTCTTAACTAATTAATTTATAAGATTTTATTCATTTCTTTGAGAGAGAGAGATAAAGAGAAAGAGCACGAGCAGGGGGAGAAGGGGAGAGAGAGAGAGAGAGAGAGAGAGAGAAGCAGACTTCCCGCTGTGCAGGGAGCCTAACTTGGGGCTCGATCCCAGGACCCTGGGATCATGACCCTAGCGGGCAGATGCTTAACTGACTGAGCCACTCAGTCAGTTTTTTTTTTTTTTTAAAGATATTTATTTATTTGACAGAGATCGCAAGTAGGCAGAGAGGCAGGCAGAGAGAGGAAAGGGGAAGCAGGCTCCCCACTGAGCAGAGAGCCTGATGTGGGTCTTGATCCCAGGACCCTGAGATCATGACCTGAGCCGAAGGCAGCGGCTTAACCCACTGAGCCACCCAGGCGTCCCCCTTCTTTTTCTTTTAAAGTTAATTTTTTGTAGTAATCTCTACACCCAACGTGGGGCTTGAATTTACAAACCCTGAGATCAAGAGTCACATGCTCTTCTGAGCCAGCCAGGCACCCCACAATATGCCTTTCCTGACAAGAGCAGCAATAAGTAGGCATGCTGAATCTCTTGTTGGGGTGGTAGAAAATAACAAACATTGCACAAGTAACTTAAAAAAAAAAAATCTTATTCTTGGGGTGCCTGGGTGGCTCAGTCCATTGGGCTTCTGACACTTGATCTTGGCTCAGGTCATGATCTCAGGGTTGTGAGACTTAGCCCTGTGTTAGGCTCTGCACTCAGGGGGTAGTCTGTTTGAGATTCTCTCTCCCTCACCCTCTGCCCCTCCCCTGTACTCTCTTAAATAAAGAAATCGTTTAAAAAAAAAAAAAAGAAGCTTATTCTAAAAGTCTATGTGTTTTATGTCTTAAAATTCTGATAGCTGTTTTAAAATTAATGGATTGTACAGCTCTTATGTGTCATTTTAAAAAAATACCAGGGTAGGAAACTGTCTTAAAGAGAAGACTTTATGGGGCACCTGGGTGGCTCAGTGGGTTAAGGCCTCTGCCTTCGGCTCAGGTCATGATCCTAGGGTCCTGGGGTCGAGCCCTGCGTCGGGCTCTCTGCTCCACAGGGAGCCTGCTCCTCCTCTCTCTCTCTCTGCCTGCCTCTCTGCCTACTTGTGATCTCTGTCTGTTAAATAAATAAATAAAAATCTTAAAAAAAAAAAAAAGAGACTTTATATAGTTAAGAATTATTTATATAGAAAAAAGAATTATTTATATAGTATGAATTCTATAATGTTATCAAATTTAAAGCAATATGGTGGTATACTGTAAATATATGTGCATATATGTGGTGGTGTGTCAAATTCCCTATCAAACTACCTTTTACCCACCTGCCCACCTTTGGAGCCCGTGTAGTGTAATGGTTGAAAGTATGGGCTCTTGAATGAGACTGGGTATGAATCTTGGCTCTGGTTTTTTCCCAAGGTGTGACCTTGGGAAAGTTGGTTAACTTAGTTATGCCTCATCTATTTTCTGTTTTCTCATCTACACAATGAGGATACCAGTTGCTACTTCATGTAGTGTAGTAGTGAAGTGACAGGAGGATTAAATGAGATAATGAATGTAATGTACTTAGCATCGTGCCAACATATATCAAGTACCCAATAAAGATAGTCTCATAATAAAATCAGGAATGAAAGAGGCCCATGGGAGAGCCCTGGAAGGGGCATGATCTGGTATAATTGCTTCTGGACTCTTGTTCAACATGTAACAAAGATAGTGAAAGTTAAGAATTGGCTTTTTACCGTGTTCCAAGGCAAACTAAAATCTGGAATTTGCCGTCCTTCCCAATGTTCCTGGGTGCAGTATTAATAGCATTTACATAGTGGCAAAAGGTTTTGCACGATGATTTCTGAATAAGGACATCATCTTCATTGTCTAGAATCTGGTCAGTGCTTTCAAAATAAGCAACTGCTTTCTCTGGGGAAGGAAGTCAGAATCATATCACAATACGCATTAATACTTCATGTACAGAAAGAGTATCACTTAGTTTATTCTGGAAACACTAATGATGCTTTGTATTATAGCCAGTCCAGAAACCAAAATCATTATTTTATCACTGGTTTCAAGATGAATTTCAGAGATCCATGTTTCACAGTGGAACAATATACTCCCAGCAGTTTATTTTCTAATCTAGACTGCACTCCAGAAGGGTAGAAAGTTTACTCTCTTTAGAATATCTTCAAGCAATGGAAATTGGAAACAAACAAACAAACAAACAAACAGAAAACCAGACTCCTCTGTCAAGGCTAGAACCTTCTATGAGTAACCAGTAAATATTTAGGAACCATCGAAATGGTACCCTCTGTTCTGTTACAAAATGGCTGGCTAACACTTCACAAAAAAAAATCCTTGAAATAGAACTAATTCAGGAACTCTAAGGAAGGGATATGTATACACATATCAGAAATAGGAGCTTAAGATTCTAGGCATTCCAAAAGAAAAAAAAAAATCACTCCGGGAGGCCTAGCTCTGTTAACCTCTTCTTTGTCTAAAAATTCTAAGTCGGATAAAATCAACTACTTCATCTAGACTATATTTACAAGACACAAAATGATTAATCATCCCTTTAAAAAAAGCTGGGAATTCTAGAAGAACTACATACCAAAATAAAGATTACAAAGCTTATTTAGCAAGCTAAAGCAGCACACTACCAACAGAATTTTCTGTGATGAATGAAATGTTCTGTATCTGTAGGTTCAACTTAGTAGCTCCTAGGTAAGGCATGTATGACTAAGGAAGTAAATTTTAAATTTAATTTACATTAAATCGGTTTAAATTTAAATAGCCACAAGTAGCTAGTGGTTACCATACTGGACAGCATAAAGCTAGAGTAATCCTTCTAAAGCAGACATATATTATGTCTCCCACTCCTTGGCTCAAAGCCTTCCAATGACTTCCTATTTCAATCATGATAAAGACCAAAGTTGTTCCAATGGCCTAGATGGCCCTGAAGCACCTGACTCTGGCAATAAACAGCCCTCTCTCCCCAGTATCCTCTTAATTTCTGTCTCCCTCACTCTGGCCCAGTCACATTAGTCTTGCCATTCTATGAAAAGGCCAAGTGTACTCCGAGCTTGGGGCCTCTCCCTGGCAATCCTCTCAGCTAGCAGTATTCTTCTCCCAGACAGCCACATGGCTCGATTCCTCACTTCCTTAGTCTTTGATCAAATATCACCTTGTCCACAAAGCGTAGAACCACCCCACTTAGAATAGTACTCTCCACCCCATGTCCTGTCACTCTGCTCTATTTTTTTCCACATCAAACACAGCTTTATAACATACTAGATAAGCTGCATACTTATTATGTTTTTGTGTATTGTCTGGGTTCCTGCCCCCACCAGAATCTAAGTACGTCAACCGTAGGAATTTTTGTGTTTTACTTATCTCTTGATGTATACTTTTTTTTTTTTTTTTTTAAACGTAAGCTCTATGCCCAATGTGGGGCTTGAACTCATGACCCTGAGATCAAGAGTCCCATGTTCTACCGACTAAGACAGCCAGGTGCCCCTTGATGTAGATCTTGAGCATCTAGAATAGTGTCTGGAATATTATGGACACCATAAATACTAGTTGGATGAATGAAAAGATAGTGCTAATTTGATATTTATTTTAAAAAATGTACTCCCTTGTTACTACCCCTTATTTGCTTAAACTCTGGGGTCTTCAAGTTTTGTAAGAAACATTTCAGTGACCTTATAATAACATATACCTGCTTTAACTTACCTATGAAGTCCCAGATGAAGACATTCTTGTGGAAGATGCGAGCAGATTTGAATCCATGATGGAAGACTTGTTCAAGTGCCACAACCAGTCCATTTTCTCCACACAGCAACACTGTGAGGCTTCCTCTCTGTGGAGCAAAACACGCAGTGCCAAAGAATAATCTGCTGCTTCTCTGTTTAAGAAAATGCTAGAGAAACAGGTGCTGATGACAGCTATGAAGCACTTTTTTGTAGCTGTTAGAAAGCTTACAAATAAAAACTAACATACCCTCTACTGCCTTATGTACCATGTATAAAAATGGCTTTAAAATCCTACATATTAAGTTTTACAGATCATACCTCTTTTTCAGGTTTGTGAAAATGTTTCACAATATTATTCACAGCTTCTCCAATTCCTTCTTGGATCTGTCCAGCACTGGGTTCTGAAAAAATAATGAACAGTGGCTGAATTCTCATGCAAGGGAAATAAACTAAAGTACTATGGGGTATCGCTTGTGTCCACCAGGCAGGAAAACACTTCACCACAGCAGGCTGGCTTGTCAGACCCCTGAGAAATTTGCCTCAGGCCAGTTCAGCTAAGTGGGAGGCATCTTGGCACAAAGGAAAAGAATCCAAGAGATCCTTAGATTCAAATTCCAACCTTACCACTTGCAGTCTATAACCTTGGTTAGATGTCTAACTTCCTCTGAGTTTGAATTTCCTCAGCCTTAAAACAGGGAAAATATACACCTCATGGGTCACTGGGAAAGGTGGATGAGATATTACAGGTGTAAATCATCTGGCATGGTACCTGTCACAAAGAGCTAGCAAACCCCTGGATCTGAGGAGTGAGGTGGGAAAGACCCACAGCATCACTCACAGGTACCCCCTTATCCTACCTACCTCTGAGTTCCTTAGTGGGCACACACCCAGGTTTGTGAAGCTCTGAAGGGCTAACCTGAAATCTGTTTTTTTACTATTGTGTTGAAAATAAAGGGATGATGCCTGGTACGCTGCAGCAGCCAAAGCCCTGAACTGCTTCCTTTTCTGATACTCAGTCCATCTGGGCATTGCTTCATTTGCATACCCCCCCCCCCCCCCCCCCCCCCCC